TTGAAATCCTGTTTCTTGATTCTTGGACATGGGGTCATTTCTATCCAGTCCAGTTCGCACTTCTGTTATCCAAAGGAGAGCTGGTGGCTTGGGTATCTCAGCGTTAAGAAGGACAATACCCCTCACAAGCAATTCAAGCCTGCATTTGCTAACGTATGGTCCTGAAAGTTAGATATTTACCAACATTGATGCTGTTATTTAAGAAAAGGATAAATTTTAGGTCTCCAGGCTTTCTCATAAGTGAATTGCACCCTAGAGGGAAAAAATCCCAAACAAAACCCAACAAAACCTTACACTGGGAGAATGGATGGATTTAACGGGTCTTTTTCAGCCCTAGCTTGTAAGTCTTTCTAATTAATGTAAAACAAAATGCAAGACGACAGCCATGAGTGTAAAAAACAGATTGCTGAAAGCTGGGATGACTCCAGACACGACTCATTTTCTGAGCGCTCCACATAGTCACAACTTAAACTGGGATGTGACCCTCAGTTACTGGGCCAGCAGAGACTGCAGGGACTGAAGAGGTGACAGATGTCCCTGTGGCACTTTGCCACTCAAAATCCTCGCTGGCAGCAGGCCAGAAAGGATTCCCCTGCAAGTCAAAGTCACGTCACACGAGCTGGTAGGGACTCGACCAACACAATCCTCAGGAAAGGAAAGACACGCTGTAGGCTCAAGAACTTTGGTTTGCATCAGCCCTGACGTTACCAGGCCAAGCTATCCTCTGCCACATCGGTGCCACCAAGAGGAGAATTTACTCCACCATAAAACCTGAAGCGCCCCAGAGCTGTGAAAAACCAAGCAAGCCTCTGTATTTCTTCACCTAACAGCATCCATCCCAAAGCACTGAAAGCCTACCGCTCAGTGAAGGAGTGACGGTGACCAGGAACACACAGCACTGCCAACAGCGGGGCCCTCACACCCTCACAGAGCTTGTTCCTATTCCAGCAGATCAGAAAAACACAAAATACAACCCACATCATCAAGCTTACGCTGAAACACACAGCCCTAACTGCCATGTTGAATACTCTGATGTTGCATACTGTGTTTCGACAGTGCTAAGAGCTGACCAAGCTGCCAAGTCATAAATTCTGCCCATTTGGAAAGTCACTGCGCCTTGCGGCTGTAAAGGTCATTTCCCTCCCTCCTCTCTTCCAAAGCAGACCAACACACACCTCTGGCATCTCCACATTTTTTCAGCAGTCTGAGGGCAGCTCTCTGATCAACCATTACTTAAGAAATTCTGCAAACCCTCCCCAACATGCAGACCCGCCCCGTGGGGCGGAAGGAGATCCCCACAGGCAGCAGGAGAAGAGGGCAAATCCCGCGTGGGTCCTGCAGTGGTGCGGGGAGCCACGGGCACGCCCGGCGGGGCAGGGCCCGTGGGAGCGGGCAGCCCACACCCCACTCGCCGCTCAGCTACAAGACAGACTACAAGGGATGCACAAAAGGAAAAGGATGTCACACTGAGTGACATCCCCACCCCATTTCACTTTTTAATCTATGGAGTAAAACCTGAAGGTGTTTCTTCCCCAGTAGCTACCACTACCTCTGTTTGCAAGCCAGAATAAAAGAATAAGCATATAAAAGACAACGATCACAGGCAGCTACACCTAGGATTTCATTCCTCTAGTACAGACTACAGTGATTAATGCCTAGAAACATAATACTGACTTTTCAGGGAAAGGTTTCTCCAAAGCCTGCAAGAAACTAAGCCATTAGTAAAACCATTCTGTGTACCTCTGAATTGCACCATATGTACTGTCAAAAAAAAAAAAAAATATTTCCAGCCAGCCCACAGCAGTGCACAGCAATCCTCCGGCACCTCTAACGCTCGCTCCTGCAGCCCAGAGAATGCAGCAAGGGACAGAGAGGAAGACAAAACCATCACTTTTTTTTTTTTTTTTCTTTCTTCACTGCATTTCTGTCATATGCTGGAGCTCTGGAATCGCTTCCAGAGCGTGCCACGGCTCTTATTTTTGAGACAAACAAATAAACAATAAATAAAGGAACAAAGAAGAAAGTTTCTCAGTCTGTTGTGATTCTGCACAACCCTTTCAAATTTGGGATGTGACAAAGGCCCCTCCAAATTAGATTCCTGCAGTTTTAATGGGAGCTGGCAATCATTTGGATAGCAGACCCTATTGGGGCATATTTGAACTTGTCAGAAGAGTATACAAATATTTTACTGATAAATATATTGCTATTAGCAGATTACTTTTTTAGTAGCTGCACTTTTTTAACTGTTAATTTAATTATAGGATAGTGATATCATCAAGCCTTTATTAATTACTTGTAATTGACTTATAACATTTGCCTCAAATTGCTTTTATTAGTAAAGCTATGAAATATTAATCACAAGTGTATTATGTAGTGATATCTAATACATTTGGAGTTCAAGATTCTTTTAAGACACTCCCAACAAAGATATCTGTTTCAAACAATGCATAGAACCTTCCTCATTACTTGTCTGATCAAATTTTACTAAAAACAAAGCAATGACTTTTAGGTGAGTTTTACATATTTTTACAGCTCCTTAATCCCAGAGAATTCTAAACCCACTTTATATTTAGGTATACTAAGTTATGTAGAGAAATTGCTTAAGCTAGCACTGAAACAAAGCACAGCCACCCTTTAACAGCAAAAAAAAAATATCCCAGAATTATTCATCTTGGGATTTGGCCAGTTTGACCCATCTACTCTTGCAAAATGCATCGTGGTGCACCAGAATGACCCTGAGGAGTAGTCAGGACCTTCATTTTCTATCTTACCTTGAAGGTAATACTACCAATGGTAACGTCCACCAATGTGTGAGGACACTGGATTCACTCTCGAGTTGAGGAAAGCCAGCTGCTTCTCCCGCAGCCCCTGCGAGGTTCAGCACGACTCCCGTCCAGGCGCAGCCCTGGCACCCCCCCCCCAGCTCAGCCTGCGAAAGCTCACGCGCTCCCAGCACGCGACAGCAAGCGAGCCCCACGGTCCCCCTCTGAACACGGAAGGCACTTCTGCTTACCATTGCTGCTCACAAACACTGTCACTAGCATCTTCTTAGCACTGTCACTATTCTGAGCCCCACTGCTACTGACTGCCGTGGCTGCGGAGAGATGAGCACCTATGGATGCCCAGGCAACAGCTGGCAGCGGGGCTGAAACGGGCTGCAGACTCACTGAAACTGCTAGAAAGGAATGGCATAATTGTGTTTAGAAAAGATAGAGAAAGCACTATTTGTAGAGACACCATACTAGCACGCTGCTTGGCTGTACCGCCACACTACATAAAATCTTTATCTTCGTACGATAGTCCATACTCGCTTCCAGCTTCTTTAGCTCTGTATTTTCTATCTCACGGCACAAACAAGAGAAATTCAAGTTACTCACAACCACTGTTAGTTTTATGTCCATTCCAACCCATCTATGACTGAATCACTTTGTCATTCCAAACACCCTCCTGCCTTGACATCTCTAAATACTATTCAGAGTAAGCTCCTTCTAAACCTTCCCTGGCAGGAAGGCCAGAGGAAGCAGAGACAGCCTCCTTCTGCTCACCCCCAGTCATCAGCGAACCTTCCAAAGCCGCAAGTGTTGAAGAACACCCCCCCACACACACCTTGTTAAACCTGAGTTGGGTGAACAGCTACTGCCAAGGAGTCGGCAGCCCCGGCTACCAAGAGTGCTCCCACAGCACCCCACACCAGGGTCTGAGGTTAGGATCGCAGCAGCCAGGAACGCAGAACACACCGACTCACCACCCTTGGACAGCCCCGGCCCAGGGCAGCACACGAACCCGCCGCTGTCCCAGATATTAAGCTGATGCTTTGCTTGATCTTGACCAAGAAAAAGTAACTGCAATGGCTAAATGAAAGCCTAACTTATTAAACATGCCAGTCTGCTTCACCCACACACATAACTGGGGCAAATTTTTTTTTCCCACACACCAGACTTGAATACGCTGCAAGAACCAAAGGGACAGTGAATAAACGTTTTTCTTCTTATACTCATGTTTCATTTACTTCCAAATTGCAAAATGCTCATGATCAAGGTTTAATTTGTATAAGATAGGTATAGGCAAAATGGTCCAACTCACTCTGTTGATACCAACAGAAATCAACAATCAGAAAATACCATCCCTGTATCTTTACTTAGGGTTCCGTTACAAATTGAACTATACAGCATCTAAAAAACAGAAAGCCTCCCATCTGACAACTGTTGCTTTTTATGAGTCCAAATCTCTCATAATTTGAGACAACTAGTGGAGAGCAACATACTGCAACCTGCACATTAAATGCAATCTCTGAACATCAAAGTTGTGCATCTTTCCATTCGCAGAAAACAAGCACCTTCCCCCCACTCCCCCCAAAAAACCCCAAACCCAAACCAAAACCAACCGAAACTGATTATATCAAATCATGGGTTAAATGTCATAATAAACTAGCATTAATCTCACATTTGACTACGTAAGTTAAGTCACAGGAAATACAACTCACCAGTCGAACACCTAACTTTCTCACTCATTTCAAAACTGCTAGAAGGATTAAAAGTTGGTCACCACTGAACGCTGATGCACACTAAACCACTTTATAGAAGAAAAAGCACCATCTTCTATGTAAATTATCAGTTCTCTACTTTTAAGCAACTACTACTTTGGCTGTAGAACACTAATAACCAAAGTTCCCTTCTAATTTTTTAAACAAGCTACCCTTTCCAACACCTGCAAACATCTGACTTCTCTTGCACAGAGAGAAAAGGTACTTCCTGCCTCCTAAACTACTGCCTCACAGGACGCCTGGCCTCGTGCAGCACCACCATCGTGTCAGCTCTACCCAGCACTCAAAAGCTCTGTTCACCACCAGAAAAACTGAAATTTGGTGCATTACTCATTAACAGGTTTTTTAGCTGTCAAGTAAGACTACTTACTGGATAGGATGTAACCAACCACTGCCATTTCCCTTTAAGATTTAACACCGATAACAGGATTAATTCTAGACTAAAATAGTTAATTACCCGTAGCAGTTTTATCAACTGAATTATAATCCTCAACAACAGAATCTTCAATCACATCACTGATTTTCTGCCATGGTTCCAGCTCCTCCTCCTCACATTCCATAAAAAGGTCCGTGTCCGCCATCCTGCAAAGGGAAAAAGAAGAGAAACCTTTATTGGAAAACTGTGTTTTGTCAGGCAGCAAAAGTCATTCATTGCAGGAAAAATTCTAATGCCAGAAATATGAACAACGTTTTTATTGCTCAGTATTCCAAAGAAAAAGATTGAATTGCATATTTTCAGGTTCTTGCTTATTTCTCCGGTTATAGAGTAGACTCCACATCCTACTTTAATAGGCTGTGTTTCCTTTTCAGATAAATTTGTGATGCTGGTGCTGAAAAGCCTTGCTTTTGACTTAAAATGCAGTGGTTTTGCCTCTCCTGCGTAAGAAAGCCAACCTAACAGCTTTGAAATCCAAAGTCACTGCCCCCCAAACTCCAGTACCTTTAAATAAATAACTGGGACTGAAAGAAGGAAGAATCATGGGTTTTGTTCTGTTTGTGGTTTTGAGTATTCTAGGATTATTGCCAACACACATGACAGAGATTGAATATCCAAGCTTAAATGAGTAAAAAATGCGTGCACAAATGTGCGAACAGTCTTCGGCTAACCTCAGCCGACCCCTCCAATCAAACCCGCATGTACCCGAATCCCTGCACACTCCCACAGCCCTGGCTCCTGCTTACCTTCCTTGTAGCAGGGAACAGGACAGACAATTATGAACTAGTTCAAAGGAGAAAAAAAAAAAAAAAAAAAAAAAAAAGTAAAGGGGTTTTCTGCAATTAGATCCATAGTTATTGTCCTTCAACTCAAATGAACGTTCCCTCGATCTCCGGAGTAAATTTACCCAATTTACCTTTTCCACACCACTCACTGCTGGGTATAATCATTACCATATTTAGTTAGAGAAAAGACACAACAGACAATTCCAGCCTGTTTTGTCTCTCCTCGTGAATAAGTCTCTCTCATTCTTGCCACCAATATCTAAAACTTCTATTTTGGCTACGTCTTTGTGAGACAGGGAAGCAGAGACAAAGGCAGTTACATAAGCAGGGGGTGTATCACTGCTAATATAAGGATGTTATAACATCAGAGCTCGCAGTGTTACTTTCTGCTCCACTATTTACGTATCTTCCCACTTTGTTTGCTTTTCCGAGCACCACTGCACACAGAACACAAGTTTCTATGGATCTGACTACAGTGAAAGTCAAGTGTTTTCTCCTGGGACTGCATCTAATCTAATCCTCAACGATGTATAAATCTGTATGTGTTCAAAGTTAAGAGTTCAATTAAACATTCAGACCATCAAGATGGAATTAAAACCAAGATGGTTCACAATTAGCAACAGTCACAAGTGTCCTAGAGGACATCTCTGCTCAGGAGGTGGTAGAGTTACCACCAAAGGTCTCCAAAAAGCTGATTTTCACTATTATCACCGAGACCTAATCGACAGACACACATTTCTAATCAGGCCCTAACAACTGGCAATCCCTAGGCCAAGCCGCTGGAAGAAGCTTCCTCCCAGATCGAGTTTTGCATTGTTTCAGGATTTGGGTGGTTCCAAACTTCACTTATAAGTGATGCTTATGCAAAATTTTAACTGTCCTTAGGAATACATTTAGAAGAGTCTTTAACCAGTATTACTCATTCTAGAAGCTCAATTGCATTTTTTAAAAGAAATAAGGATTATTATAGAAGATAAGACACCCCAAAACCTGAAGTTCCCGATTTCCCACCTGGGTTGTAGTAAAAGAGGATCAATTCTTTCCCTCCTACCAACCACGAGAAAGGCTGGCGAGCAGAACAAGTGCCAGTTCTGTACTCCAACTGAATGGGAATCAAGATGTCTAGAAGGGATTTGCTCTTCTTGATTACATTTTGGTGGCAAAAAAGACTGTTATGATTGCATTTTGTCATCTCTGCTACCATTTGACAGCCATAAAAATCTGATGAGAAATGTTCTGAGACAAACTGGCCAGAATAAACAGTTTATAATAGGAGACAAGCAAGAAAATAATCCAACCCATGTGCAGACAATCTGTGTTTTCAATAGCCACAGAAAACAGTGCTGACCAGAAGGCTTCAACACAGAGTAACGTCTCTTAGTTCACTGTGGACTGACTAGAAGAGACTTAGCTTTAAAATATAAACTGGATTAAGTAACCACAGAGCAATTAGATTGTAAGTCTTGTATCGTTAAACTATGCCTACCCTTCTTAGCCTAATACAGTCATAATTCTGGCCGAACAAATGCTGAAGCTGCTATAAACTTCAGTTTGTAAATCAGTCTAAAACTAGGATTTACAGGAGTGGCTGCTAAAACTGAGCCTGAAACCACCTTGTGCAAACGCAATCTTTAATTTTTATTTGTGTAAAATGCCAGAGCATGACCATCAGGAATTTCCTGCGACACAACATGAAGTCGGAACAAGACTTCAACAAATGCTGATCTGAAGCAACCGTTTGAAACAGGTAAGCCTCAAAACCAAAAACAAATCCTAAGAACTTGTTAATATTTGCCAAATTCAAATTGCCAGCACTTTCTTTGAAGCAACACATACTGTTGTTTTCCCCTAGATACAGACTCTGACTCTGTTTTCTGTGTTTATCTGTCTAAAAAGGATTCAGAGAGTTCGTACTGCAATGCTGTCATTGCACGATGGTGTTTTACTAAGAAATACTCACTTTAGTTTTATGCTGGGTTATACAAGTAATTCTCACTTCCCAATTATGCTTTTGAAGCACAGTAATACTCATTTTAAGAATAGCAAAGAATTATACTTAAAGGAAGCCCTTCGTTCAGTAGCAGATCTTTTGTCCCCCACTTTCTCAACATTCATACTGATAAAAGAGTAAAAGTCGTTCATCTTACCCTGCACACGACTCTGAACGACTAGCCCTACCACTTCTACAAGGACACAGAACTGGCTTATGCCTATTCACATATACTGCCAATCTCAAAGATGTATTTAATATAGCTATCCCCATGCCTCAAAAGTTTGCGTATTTACAGTGCAGAATCCGAAATAATACAGTAAATGAACACGTTTCTGTATAATTTCACTTTTGATCTCTACGAAATTGGATTTGCCCTTTACGAATGCCTTTAAAAGAAGATAAAAAGACCCCAAAGTCCAACCCAACTCATAGATAACTTACTCCCGATGAGACTACCTCTTTTAGGGGGACCTAAATAGATTGCTCAAATTTCTCATGGGCTTGTTCTACCAGGAAAAGCTTCTAGTAGGGAAATATTTATCTAGTATTGTGACTTTACAAGGGAAGTATAAAGAATCCTGTTTCTCTGACCACAGGCAAAACAAGAGCTAATTTATTTTCTCACTGTTTCAAGCCCTTCTCGGTCAACTTTTCACCTAAAAAGCATCCTTTCAGGAACTTTAAATGACCTTGCCCCTTCCAGCTGTCCCCCAAGCGCTCTTCTCTGGTATTCCGCCCAGAGACGCGCGCATCTCCATAGCTGTTTTCTCCTTGCTCTTATCACACCTTACCAGCACGCATTTTGAGTCAAGAAAAGCCCAGTAACAGCTCAGGCTTGCCAAGCGGGCCAGCGGATCCCTAGCAAGTTATCAACAAGCAAAGGAACATTTAATGGTTCCTCAGGCGAAACAATGAGGCTGTGCTTTGCATGCTGCAACACTACCTGGAGCACAACACCGAGACAGCCTGAAGCCAACTCCTGAGTCCAGAGGAGAGCTAGAAAGTGTGTTTTTTCACGAAATGATGGAATGACCCGAGTTGTTCAATCCACAGAGGGGACGCAGAAGCACAGTGATCTGCAGATAGGTAAAAGGCTACCGCCAAGTGGGAAGAAGCGGTCTCTTCCCCACATCTGTGATGGAAACAAGAAACGAAGAGCTCAAACGGAAGAACACAAGATTCCAACTTAGACGCCCCAAAAAGCTACTAGGAATAAAGATGAAGGACTGAAACAGGCTGCCCAGGGAACTCATGGAATGTCCAGTTCTGGATGCTCCTGGGAGCAGACTGATCTGTAGGAGAAGGTACGGATATATACTATAAGGGAGGCAAGGTGGCTTAAATGCCTTGCTGGGGACATTTGAGGCTCCATTTTCCTACAGTATTGTGTAATTCATGAACTAAACATGTATTACCAGGTATTTCTGCACTACTATGAAACAGCAGGTATACTTCAGTTGTTGACACTGAGGCTTTTGCCTTATAGGAAGCAATTAACTACTCCTGTAACAGTTAGCTCTTTTCATTTTGCCAAATACACAAAACATTACTAATAAATATAGCACATAAACCAAATTACCCCAACTTAACACATCCAAACTCCTGCTCATAAAAACGGTATAGAGCGGTAGTTGTTTAAATGTGTCTGCTGAAATCTTCACAGAAACCTATGCCTAAAACTAGTCTTAGTAAAACTTCTTGCAGTCAATGAGAAAAAAAAATAGACAATCGATTAAAAAAAATAAATCAAGCCTCTTACTTGTCAAATGAAATTACATTAGTATATTTAAAAAAAAAAAGAAACCAAAGAGTATTGTAGTAATCCTAATATACAATTAACCAAGTGTATTACATTAAGCATGAAAAAGCTCACATTCTCCACAGCACCCATTACCTGCATGCTTCAAAGACATTACCAGCTTCTTCATTTACATAAAACCTGCAGTGTGTAAAAAATTTTATTAACCTTATCTCAAAGGTGGGAAACAGAGTTTAGTAAAATTAAATGACTTGCCAAAGATTCTACTAGAAGTGGGTGGTTTAATCAGAAAAAAACCTCAAGATGCCCAGCCCTTTTTCACATCACTGAACATAAAGTCAAACTTCCTCCTGTCCTGTTAAAAAAAAAAAAAAAAAGACAAAAAAAAAAAAAATAAACAAAACCAACCACAACAAAAATCCTTTCAGAGTGACAAATGGTAAGAAAATAGATTGCAACAAATGAAGCTCTGAAGTACAGGTTTCTGCTAGAGATCTGCTTAGCAGGGGAAAGCAAGAATCAAAGAGCCTTAAATATTATTTGTGCTGCCTGTTAACACAAACTTCTTCATAATTACAAGATCTTAGCAAAACCAAGCCAAATCATACA